CCCGAGAGGTACCGGATAACTATCGGAGTGCCGAAGGGTTATCGGAACCCCCCGGGGATAATGGGCCTTCATGTGCCTTAGTGGAGAGAGAGGAGGGTCACAAGGGGCTGGCCATTCCCCCCCCCCCCCTTGCAGTCCGAATTGGACTAGGGGAAGGGGGCGGCGCCCCCCTTTCCCTTTCCCTCTCCCTCTCCCTTCCTTCTTCCCCCTTCCACCAAGTGGAATCCTACTAGGACTTGGAGTCCTAGTAGGACACCTCTCTCTTGGCGCGCCCTACAGGGGCTGGCCGGCCTCCCCCTCTCCTCCTTTATATATGGGGGCAGGGGCATCCTAGAACACACAAGATCAATTGTCTTAGTCGTGTGCGATGCCCCCCTCCACAGTTTACCACCTCGGTCATATTGTCGTAGTGCTTAGGCAAAGCCGTGCGCAGATCACATCATCAACACTGTCACCATGCCGTCGTGCTGACGGAACTCTCCCTCGGCCTCAACTGGATCAAGAGCTCGAGGGACGTCATTGTGTTGAACGTCTGCTGAACACGAAGGTGCCGTACATTTGGTGCTTGGATCGGTTGGATCGTGAAGACGTTCGACTACATTAACTGTGTTACTAAACGCTTCCGCTTTCGGTCTATGAGGATACGTGGACACACTCTCCCGTCTCGTTGTTATGCATCTCCTAAATAGATCTTGTGTGACCGTAGGAATTTTTTTGAAATACTGCGTAATCCAATAACCTTAGTGGTGTGTGTCAAGTATATACTTTTTTAGGGCACCCCTCCCTCTCAAAACCTAGCTTCTTGCTCAGATATGGTCTGGTTTCTAATAGTCTACACGACAGCTTTTGTGAAACATTCTCAAAATCAAGCCACATCCTCTATGTGTTATATAATCATACCATGTCAAGTTTCGTGATTTTTGAGGTTTATTTGAATTTCTGAAAACTAAGATGGCAGTACCACCATGTTTGCGCTCGATTCTCGACCACCTAGTGTTTAGGAATCTTTTCTTTCCTTGCACAAGGCTTAAACATTGGCTAAAGACTGCTAATAAGATTTATCAAGACCTGTAATTCAAACTTGAATTATATCCATTAAATGCCTAGGAATGCATTTAACGACTTAAATATTGCAAACGGACCTTAGAAAATGCCAAAATTTGACATGATACATTTAATAGCGCGTGTTGAGAGTGGAAAACATTTTAAGGCCAAATGATGAACCGATGGTCAATTCGCCTCCAAACTTGACATATGCCCTCTCAAAACCTGTTTCTTCCTCGGAGATGGTCCGCACTCTTCATGAAACTTCTGTGAAAGATTCTCAAATTTTTAGCATTGTCTTTAGGGATCATATCATGATACTATGGCAAGTTCCATGATTTCCGAGCTTCGTTTGAATTCCTGAGAATTAAAATGGCAATACCAACATGTTGGTGCTCGAGCCTCGACCACCTAAACATAGAGTAAAGACTAACAATAATTTTGTTCATGCCATTTATGATCATTATTTCATGTACCCACAGTTTTAATTTGAATTATATTATTTAAGGGTCAGTTTGGTTGGCACCTTGGCGTTCTCGTGCCTGGCCACAGACTTCCTTGAAATCTATCTGTCGTCTGTTTGGTTAGCGCCTTGAAAAAGCAAACAAGTGCCTGGTTGGAGCAAGCCTGCAACCGTTGTTAGCTTGGGCCAACCGTGGCATTGTCATTAGCTTGGGCCAGGCCATCTATTTTGGACACTTGGTGCATCGAATTCCCTAACGGATGCTCATTGCGTCGAACAATTGTTGTTTCACACAGGTAGATCGAGCAATCGATCGGCTTGTGTTGGCCTGTTTAATCATTTCAGTGATCCTGCTTTTGGGAATCTTCTAGAGGTTTACGGCCAGGTTTTTCCCGGATTTGGCAACCTTCTACAAGGCTGCTGAACCAGTTTTCCTTTTTTTTTCCTTTTTGCGTTTATTTTTATCTTTTATCTTTTTTCTTGTTTCTTTTTTCTCCTTTTTCGTTTTTCTGTTTATTTTTCATTGTTTTTTCTTTTTTATGTTTGCTTGTTTTCTTTTTCTCTCCTTTTTACTCTATTTAATTCTGTTTCTCATCTTCATTTTCCTTTTTTCTTTATGTTTCTTTTTCTTTTTTCTTTTTGTTTTCTATTTCCTATTTTTCCTGTTTATTTTCTTCCAAAAATTCCCATTATTGTTCAGAATTTCAAAAGAAAAATCTCATTTCCAAAATTTGTTCACAATTTTTTAAAAATGTCTGTGTTCCAAAACATGTTCTTTTTTTCAAAAACAAATTACAATTTCAAAACAAGGTTGTGTTTCAAAAAATGTTCAAGAATTTCAAAAGACATTCTTGGTTTCGCAACTTTGTTTCTAATTTTTTAAAAATGCATTTCAAGAAGTTAAGGAATTTCAAAAAAAATCTCATTTTCAAAATTGTTCGTGTTTTAAAAGATATATTCATATTCTTACTTTTCGTGTTTCAAAAAACTGTTCATGTTTTAAAAAATATTCATGAATTACAAAAAATGTTCTCATTCTCAAAATCTGTTCACAATTTTTTTTAATGTTCACTCTTCAAAAAATGTTTGTGGACTCAACATTTTGTTCACAATTTAGAAAAAAAATCCCATGTTTCAAATTTTGTTCGCATTTCCAAAAGATTATACAACTATGAATTTTGTTAGCATTTAAAAAAAAATATTCATATTTTTACTTTTTGTACATAATTTAGAAAATGTTCTTGTTTATAATATTTGTTCCAAAATTAACAATTGTTCGTGATCCCGGAAAATATTTGGGAATTTTAAACAAATGTCCGCATTTTTTGTAATTCGTTTAGTTTTTCAGAAAATGTTCAAGTTTTTATTAAATGTTTGCGTTTTAGAAAACAGTTTGGGATTTGCAAAAAAATCCTGATTAAAAATAACAGAATTACAAAAATGGTTCACTTTAAAAAAATGGAATATCAATTTCTTTTGCGTCATTTCAACACTGTTCAGAATATGGTTCGCCTTAAGTCTAGCTAATAGCTCGTGATTAGGCGCCTACGCTGTGGGAGGTCTCGGGAGCGAATCCTGCATGTCTCGAATGATTTTTTTGTCGCGCGATAAAAAACAACAGGCAGCACATCGGTGGGCCGGCCCATGTTGTGGACTGCTTGAGCGAAGCCTCGCCATTCTACCGCAGAATGCGGCAGATAGGATGTCCATTGATGCATGCCTATCTATAAATTAATACAAAAATAGTTGGCTGGGCTGATGGGCTCCACACTAGTAGAGATTCTTAGCTCCTAGGTGAAAACGACGATCTCGGGTGTTGCTTCCCTTTTCTCGGTGTTATTGTGGGTCCAATCATGGTGTCAGGGCTCCTACATGAAAAGGTCTAGTCCATCTTCTTGGGCTCAATGGCGGGGGCGCTTGTGTCATTATCCTCTTGAGTTCGTCGTCACGAAGCCCTGGTACCTTAGCTGGTTAGCGACTTTGAGCATGCTTTATCCCTAACATGCAGCGCTCATGGCTCTAGCGTGGGGTGCTCGTGGTGATCTCCTATCTTATACATGTGTCCCGGTGATCTTTGTTCTCGGTCCTTGATATCTCTTGGCAGGAGCGGCGCTCCACGGCCTGGAGCGAGTGGGCAGTCTGAACAACAAATCGGCCCCTTTCGGAGATGGCTCGATGGTACTACAGTGTCCGATGGTTTCTCAAGACGACGCAGTTCTGGTCCTGTTCAATAGTCTCGGGTGTCTCTTGTTAGATGTGGAGTTTTCTCTTCTCTCGTTCAATGTTGGGCTAGTTGCACTTGTGCCGCTTGCTTGGATTCCACACCGACAGTATATCCTGCACAATAAGTCACCCATAAGAACCTGATAAGAGGAACCTTCCTTCCTTGTAGCAATAAGTATTTTACACGTCATGTGGTTTGTTTGGTAGCACAGATGATATGATAATACGTCTTGGATGCGAAATTTGATGATTGGTCCTGGGTTTCGTTGGTCGATAGCCAAAGCCTAAACGGCTAAACCCCGAAACACGTGGGCGCTGCACGGTACCATTCCATGCCCGATCCAGCATGATGAGATTCCAGATGCCTAGCCACATCATCAACCGTTATCCTGTAGGAGGCGTCGTTCCTCGGAGCAATAAGTATGCTAAAGATCGTGTTGGGATTTCTCATGTCCGCTTGTTTGTGTGACTAGTAAATCCGTACGTGCAATTCATGTTCATATTAGGTAGGATATTATTTACGTGTTAATTATGTAATTAGCGCTGAAATTAATTTTTGAATGATATTACACATCTTGGATGCAGTGCATGATTGATTGGTTGAACCATGATCAACACCATGTGACCGAAGGAACATCCCCAGTTGTTCCTCTGCATGCTTGTTCAGGGTTCAGAAAAACAGACCGCTCTGCAAGATGCTTGTTCAGGATCCCTGCAAAACGTGCTCAAACTGGTTCTACGCAGATAACCTGATTCATCTTGCAATCAGTGTCAAATCTGCAGACAAATCTGTAGACACAAGACAGGGTAAACGGTTTTCCACTGTGCTTCGACAGAGGAACGACTGCTTGTAACAAGGGAAATCTACTCCCACCGATGAATACAGAGGAAATATTTTCTAAAGAAACAGAGGAGAGTTTTGTGTCTCCTCCTGTGCTGTACACGCAAAATCGATGAACAAACAGAATCCTTTCTCCGAGACTGTTGCTGAGGCAGCTGGAGTGCAGTTGAGCAGGATGCATTCTCCGTGACCGACAGTGGAGTGAGTCGGTGAGGGTGGTGGTTGATTTGCACATTGATTGACACTAAATGGATACTGGTGGCAGCTGAGCTGAGCTGAGATGTGCAGCTGAGCAGCTGAGCTGTGGCTTCTGCTCCGTGGCCGTGACCTCGATCCGCCCCAATTAAACCGCCCACGCGCAGCCGCAGCTATAACCCCGCATCGTCCAAGATCCGGCCGGCGGCACAAGAAGCGGCAGCAGCGGAGACAATGGCGGCGGTGAAGCGCGCCTACCTCGCCGTCTACAACTGGGCCGTCTTCTTCGGATGGTTCGTCTTCGTCCCTCCCGCCGCTGCTTCATCCCTCCTCCCCGCATCGAGTTCTTGGTTGACAGATTGATTCATGAGGATCCGTGCGTGCGTGTGTGCAGGGCGCAGGTGCTCTACTTCGCCGTGGAGGCGCTGCTCCGGTCGGGGCACGAGGACGTGTACGCCGCCGTCGAGAGGCCGCTCCAGCTCGCGCAGACCGCCGCCGTCCTCGAGGTACGCCGCCCGCCGGTCCGCCCGCTGGATCTTGCTTCTTTCTTCCGATCTGAACTCTGCATCCTGCGTGTGCCTGCCAGATCCTCCACGGCCTCGTCGGCCTGGTGAGGTCGCCGGTGTCGGCCACGCTGCCGCAGATCGGGTCGCGCCTCTTCGTCACCTGGGGCATCCTCTGGAGCTTCCCCGAGGTGCGGTGCTCTTCTCCATGGTGCCCTTCTCCGTTCTTCTTGCTTCGTGCATACCTCATCCTATCCTCTGTTTTCCTTGCTCTGTTTTCTTGTACGGCTTTGCAGACCAGGACACACATCCTGGTGAGCTCCTTGGTCATCAGCTGGTCCATCACCGAGGTACGCATGCTCCTGAATCCTGATAATCTAGGAATTAGAGCTCTTCAAATTAACTGTATTATCGAGCCGCGAGGTGCTGTTGTTGCTGTCAGACTAGCTGAAGATGTGCTCCTGAACTAATGAAATGCGACGATAATTTTTACATATGGATGTTGTTGTTCCAAGTTGAATTTCAAGATACTTGTGATAGGTGTATCTCACAAAATTGCTGCAGCTTAATTCACTGTACTGTTAGTATTACCCTACACCAGGGGAGGTGTGTATCATAAGGGTGGTGTTGAATCAACTAGAAGTCAGAGGCACTAATATGTGCACATTACTTACCGCCGCATATTTTCCTATCATGTATCCTATTATTTGTATGATTAATCCCAAATGGGAGAAATCAGGGTAATAATGCTCATGTAACAGAAAAAAAAATACAAGAAACTTCAAACATGAATGGAAAGAACCTTTAAAGCAGTGGATGACAGAGAAATTATGCTGCATATTATTATTCATCAAGTCCTATAGGTTGCCAGAGTCATGGCATATGGTCCATGGTTTGTTGAAGTGTGTTCATCTTAATTATCTGATCACTTGATTGATATGAACGAATGGTAAATTCTGCAGATTTCAGAAACCTAGTTAGTTACTCTATTGTTGGGTGTTGCAATGCAGATTATTAGGTACTCTTTTTTCGGCACAAAAGAGCTGTTTGGATCTGCCCCATCATCGCTTCTATGGCTTAGGTGAGGCTACACTAGACTGCTTTAACTCTGCATAAGGTTGCAGATTGTAAGTCAGCCCAACATTAATTAATTATATAAAGAATCAATCTTTACATCGAATCGAACCTGGATGTGTGCAGGTATAGCTCTTTCCTAGTCATGTACCCAACCGGCATCAGCAGCGAGGTTGGCTTGATATACATTGCGTTGCAGTTCATCAAGGTATTATCTTTTCTGATGAAATCCATTAGAGCAGTTGATCAATGCACTGATAAATTGTATGAATGTTGCTAATTTATGCTTCTCCGTTTGAATTTACAATGGCAGGCATCGGAGAAGTACTGCATTAGAATGCCCAACAAATGGAACTATTCATTTGACTACTTCTATGCATCAATCCTGGTACTCCTAGTCTATGTTCCAGGTACCTTTTCTTGTCCTAGCTATCGATTCATGCCTCAATCATCTACACCTAGTGTGTGTGCGCTTACCGTGGATAAATTAACTTTGGACAGGAAGCCCGCATATGTACACGTACATGCTTGGGCAGCGCAAGAAGGCGCTTGCAAAGTCGAAGACTGCGTAATCTTATTGATGCCTCTTACAAGATTTGTTGGCATATCATTGTGTTTCTCATTTACATCAGAAAATCAAAAATATGTTCTTGTTCGGCACCAGCTATGTTTAGGATCATCAAACTCTTGTGTCATGTGGATGTGGTTGTTTTTGAATTAGCATTTGGTTGCTACATACAACGTCTAAACAGTAATGACCAGCAACTTCCCAAGTGACTGGACGATCTGCGAGGTAGTGATGAAGAGGTCATCAGATTTGTCATAGTAGATGTCTTGGCTAATCGAGTGGATGCTGAACGGCCTTTGTTATGTTCTCCGTTTATTAGAGTCTCACCATCTTGCTCACTCTTATCCTTGGCAACATGTTTGTGATATTTCTCATCAACATCGCTCCACAAGTCATAGCCATCATCAAGCAATGGGTATGGCCACACACGGAAGAGATCGATGTTGCTCCACACGTCAGAACGATCACTGGCCTTGGATGGGTGCCTTATGACCCGCTTGGCTCTAGTAACGATGGGTGTACCGTCGGCGCCAAAAGCCTCCGCCTTGGTGATCCCATAGAGCCTATCTCCGATGAAGACCACGTCAGTGATGTAGACGAAGGGAGCTGATTGTGGCCTTCCCTGGTGGGACCAGGATGATAGGGCAATTGTAGTTGTTGGTCATAAGAGCAACAACGTCATGCGGGGTTGACATCGAAAAACAGGGATACGTTATTACCGATAAGAGCGTCTAGCTCAGGGAGAAAGGATTATGCAAGAGGTAGCTATTCGTTTTGCAGGCATTGTTGACCACGACGCAATGGAGGGTGATTCAGTCGTTGGTGGAACCAATGCATGTCGCGTCCTCGGGGGACAGCTTCAGTGACTTCATGAAGCTAAGTCTCATCTTAACTTAGCCTCCCCTACCAGCCATCCATTCAAAATCCGACGGACCAGATTGATCCATATTCTGAATAATTATTTTTAAGTGTTCAGAAAAATTGAAAAAATTCCAATAAATCGTTTAGTATTGTGTGAAATTTTTGATATATTTGGATGTATAGTTTGCGAATACATATTTTTTTATTTCTTTGAGCTAAAAAAGCTATTTAATCAGAACCATACATCCAAATGGGTTGAAACTTTCCCAGAATACAAAATGAAACATTTATGGTTTGTTGGATTTTTTCCAATTTTTTCTGAACACTTTAAAATTTTCAATATGAAAAATAGGTCAATCTGGAACTTTGGATCTTTAACGGACGGTTGATAATGGGGGTTAAGTTACGGTGAGACTTGGCTTCGTAAAGTCACTGAAGCTGCGTCCGTCCTCGGGTAAGGAGGGGGGCGGTGATCCCTGGTGTCAGAGCTTGTTCCGAAACAACAGTATGAGCGAACGATCCACGACAGGTGGCAGGGTAGGCAGGGGAGGTGCTCATGCGCGACGGCACGCCAAGAACGGCACACCGCTCCAACCGTGCATTGTGCACAGCACTCTGCTCGGAAGCGAGCATGGTGGACGGGGTCCGACGTGCACCAGGAACGATAGGCCGCATAGAAGTGAGCGCGATTGTTGGAGTCGGCGGTGCGGTTTGAGTGGTTCCGCCGTGTGATGGTGGAAGGAGCATGACGCGCGGAAGCGAGCCAGGCTATTTTGAAGCGTCCGTAGCGGCCACGCCGGCGCCCAGAAGCTGCAGCGGTGGCTGGTGGCGGTCCGGAGGCGGTCGATGACGAGGCCTAGGATGTCAGCCGGGAGCTCGGACCATGATGGACACGACGACGCCATTGATCAATCGGTGGAGCTAGCTAATCGATGATGGATCAGACCGGATTGGGCTCTTCTATTCAAATCGAACCTTGTTATCAGTGCACGTACGCTTCCTTCGAGATGTTATTGATGTGTACCTTACTAATGAAGATGAAGCCAAAAGATATAAGTTTAATAATGATAGTGCAACTTATTTGTGGCACTGCCGTTTAGGTCATATTGGTTTAAAGCGCATGAAGAAACTCCATGCTGATGGGCTTTTGGAATCACTTGATGCTTGCGAACCATGCCTCATGGGTAAGATGACTAAAACTCCGTTCTCCAGAACAATGGAACGAGCAACAGACTTATTGGAAATAATACATACTGATATATGCGGTCCGATGAGTATTGATGCTCGTGGTGAGTATCGTTATTTTCTGACCTTCACAGATGATTTGAGCAGATATGGGTATGTCTACTTGATGAAACATATGTCTAAAACATTTGAAAAGTTCAAAGAATTTCAGAGTGAAGTGGAAAATCATCGTAACAAGAAAATTAAATTTCTACGATCTGATTATGGAGGTGAATATTTGAGTCATGAGTTTGGTCTTCATTTGAAACAATGCGGAATAGTTTCGCAACTCATGCCACCTGGAACACCACAGCGTAATGGTGTGTCCGAACGTCATAATCGCACTTTATTAGATATAGTGTGATCTATGATGTCTCTTACTGATTTACCACTATCATTTTAGGGTTATGCTTTAGAGACGGATGCATTCACGTTAAATAAGGCACCATCGAAATCTGTTCAGACAACACCATATGAATTGTGGTTTGGCAAGAAACCCAAGTTGTCGTTTCTTAAAGTTTGGGGCTGCAATGCTTATGTGAAAAAGTTTCAACCTGATAAGCTCGAACCCAAATCGGAGAAATGTGTCTTCATAGGGTAACCGAAGGAGACTGTTGGGTACACCTTCTATCACATATCCGAAGGCAAGATATTCGTTGCTAAGAATGGAAGCTTTCTAGAGAAGGAGTTTCTCTCAAAAGAAGTGAGTGGGAGGAAAGTAAAAATTAATGAGGTAATTGTACCTGCTCCTTTATTGGAAAGTAGTTCATCACAGAAATCAGTTCCAGTGATTCCTACACCAATTAGTGAGGAAGCTAATGATGATGATTATGAAACTTCTGATCAAGTTACTACCGAACCTCGTAGGTCAACCAGAGTAAGATCCACACCAGAGTGGTACGGTAATCCTGTTCCGGAGGTCATGTTACTTGACCATAACGAACCTATGAACTATGAGGAAGCGATGATGAGCCTAGATTCCGCAAAATGGCATGAGGCCATGAAATCTGAGATGGGATCCATGTATGAGAACAAAGTGTGGACTTTGGTTGACTTGCTCGATGATCGGCAAACATAGAGAATAAATGGATCTTCAAGAAGAAGACTGACGCTGACGGTAATGTTACTGTCTACAAAGCTCGACTTGTTGCGAAAGGTTTTCGACAAGTTCAAGGAGTTGACTACGATGAGACCTTCTCACCCGTAGCGATGCTTAAGTCCATCTGAATCATGTTAGCAATTTCCGCATTTTATGATTATGAAATTTGGCAAATGGATGTCAAAACTGCATTCCTTAATGGATATCTTAAAGAAGAGTTGTATATGATGCAACCAGAAGGTTTTGTCGATCCAAAAGGTGCTAACAAGGTGTGTAAGCTCCAGCGATCCATTTATGGACTGGTGCAAGCATCTCGGAGTTGAAATATATGCTTTGATAATGTGATGAAAACATATGGTTTTATACAGACTTTTGGAGAAGGCTGTATTTACAAGAAAGTGAGTGGGAGCTCTGTAGCATTTCTGATATTGTATGTGGATGACATATTGTTGATCAGAAATGATACTAAATTTCTGAATAGCATAAAAGGATACTTGAATAAGAATTTTTCAATGAAAGACCTCGGTGAAGCTGCTTATATATCGGGCATCAAGATCTATAGAGATAGATCAATACTCTTAATTGGACTTTCACAAAGCACATACCTTGATAAAGTTTTGAAGAAGTTCAAAATGGATCAAGCAAAGAAAGGGTTCTTGCATGTGTTACAAGGTGTGAAGTTGAGTCAGACTCAATGCCCGACCAATGCAGGAGATAGAGAGAAAATGAAACTCATTCCCTATGCTTCGGCCATAGGTTCTATCATGTATGAAATGCTGTGTACCAGACCTGATGTGTGCCTTGCTATTAGTTTATCAGGAAGGTACCAAAGTAATTCAGGAGTGGATCACTGGACAGCGGTTAAGAACATCCTGAAATACCTGAAAAGGACTAAGGATATGTTTCTCTTTTATGCAGGTGACAAAGAGCTCGTCATAAACGGTTACGCCGATGCAAGCTTTGACACTGATCCGGATGACTCTAAGTCACAAACCAGATATGTATTTTTATTGAATGGTGGAGCTGTTAGTTGGTGCAGTTCTAAGCAAAGCGTCATGGCGGAATCTACGTGCGAAGCAGAATACATAGCTGCTTCGGAAGAAGCAAATGAAGGAGTCCAGATAAAGGAGTTCATATACGATCTAGGTGTCATACCTAGTGCATCAGGTCAAATGAAAATCTTTTGCGATAATACCGGTGCAATTTCCTTGGCAAAGGAATTCAGATTTCACAAGAGAACCAAGCACATCGAGAGACGCTTAAATTCCATCCACGATCAAGACAAGGAGGGAGACATAGAGATTTGCAAGATACATATGGATTTGAATGTTGCAGACCCGTTGACTAATCCTCTCTCACGAGCAAAACATGATCAGCACCAAGACTCCATGTGTGTTAGAATCATTACAATGTAATCTAGATTATTGACTCTAGTGCAAGTGGGAGACTGAAGGAAATATGCCATAGAGGCAATAATAAAGTTGTTATTTATATTTCCTTATATCATGATAGATGTTTATTATTCATGCTAGAATTGTATTAACAGGAAACTTAGTACATGTGTGAATACATAGACAAACAGAGTGTCACTAGTATGCCTCTACTTGACTAGCTCGTTAATCAAAGATGGTTAAGTTTCCTAGTCATAGACATGAGTTGTCATTTGATGAGCGAGATCACATCATTAGAAAATGATGTGATTTACTTGACCCATCCGTTAGCTTAGCACTATGATCATTTAGTTTATTGCTACTGCTTTCTCCATAACCTATACATGTTCCTATGACTATGAGATTATGCAACTCCAGAATATCGGAGGA